AGAGTTACATAACTAAAGGCTAACTAATGCAGACTCAGTCCTACTCTGACTGAGGTCTGGGGACTACTGATTACTGTGGGTGTGCGGGGCTTATGGTTATATAGTCTGCAGTGCAGACCAGATGTTAGTCAACTGAATGGTATGCATTGCGCGAGCAGTGCATGTAATGCTATACAAGTGGGGGCAATATAAATACCAATGCGCGCAGTATTACATAATACTGCAATATATATACGTATATATATACAGTATATACAGTATATATATACAGTATATATGTTGATTCATATAAGCCATAGCTATGGGCTCTGAGAACCGGTAGTTTGAGTTTAAAAGTAGTGTATTTCACAAATTTCTTATTACATACATGTAAATTCAATAGTAAAATATTAAATAATAATAACTAATTGGAGACTCTTTGTAAATCAAACTTTGCTAGCATTAAGCAAGTTAAAATTAAACTTGTGGAACGTTTTACATCTTATGTTAAATATATAATACATTCTTTTAATTGTATTCCGATTTTGAAGAGAATCGGCGTTAAAGCGCTTTTTAAACTACATTATAAACTATTAATTCATATATTAATAGATATATAGTTTATAATATACTGTAAAAGTAAAGCAAACTAATAATGTCTAAAAAGCCCGACGATATAGTGGTGTCGGGAATGTCGGGTCGATTCCCCCTCTCAGACACTACCGATGAGTTCGCGAAGAATCTGTTCTCAGGCGTGGATATGGTTACCGAAGATGACAGTCGATGGCCAATAGGTTTGTAATTATAAATTGTCGAATCATGGTCAATTTGAGCATGTACTGTAATACTGTAGTTAACAATTTTACCATATTTTTTCAATATGCATTTTTTACCACTTTTATCACTAAATTCTATACTCTTTTTAATACAAATCTTCTATTCATACAGTATAGAGTTAAAGTTCGATAAAGTACTTTTAACCACAATTCAGCTATGAATAATGTGGTTTATAGGATCGCTATAATAATATGACAATTTGATTGAACTAGGTTTGTACGACATGTCTGGCCGAATGGGTAAATTGGATTGTTATAAGGACTTTGACTCACCATTCTTTGGGCTCAACGATCAGATTATAGCTGCGTCTGACCCACAGGCCAGGATGCTTCTCGAAGTGGCCTACGAGGCTATGATGGACGCAGGTATGTCTCTCTCTCTCTCTCTCTCTCTCTCTCTCAAAAGTTATATTTTACTGTAATTACTAATGCAGCAAATAAACTGCTAATTATTTACTCTCTCTCTCTCTCTATCTATCTATCTATCTATCTATCTATCTATCTATCTTTCTCTCTCTCTCTCTCTCAATCAATATAATCGATGACTGATTTATTGATAAATGAATTGTTTATTTTGACAATAGGTGTGAATCCCCAGGAGTTGAGGGGAACAAAGACTGGAGTATACGTTGGAGTTTCCATTTACTCCATGACTGACGGCTACCCCGAAGACGGGCAGTCAGACCAATCAAATAGTATGCATACTCTTATGGTTCAAGCACTCGCCAGTATGAAGACCCTCTACTCCAGCCGTATATCGTTTGCTAATGACTTTAAGGGCCCGAGTCTTGTGGTGGACACCGCCTGCTCGGCCAGTCTTAGCGCCCTCACACTGGCCTGCAATGATTTGCTGCTAGGTTAGTTTTGTGGTCATTCTATTTATTTATTTTATCTCCACTTTTTTTAATATTATTGACAATTGTCTATAATTAATTGAATAATTATAAATACTGCATATAAAATAATGTAATTATATAGTCAATTGTTGCAATTAAATGTACAATATAATGTTGCAATGATATGATTACAGACAATACGGACTACGCGATAGTGTGCGGCACTCATATGGATTTCGAGCCCTTTATATTTCAGTTTCAACAAGAGTTGGGTATTTGTTCGCCGGACGGTATGTCCCGTGTGTTGGACGCCGCGGCCAATGGCTTCGTGAAGGCAGAGGCCGTGTGCTGTGTGTTCTTACAGCGCCGTCAGTGCGCCCGCCGTCTGTACGGACACATATTGACGGCCAGAATGAATGTCGACGGACACAAAAAGATGGGAATGTTTTTCCCCTCGTATGCATTATACATAAGTAATGACTAGTATTAGTGCCGCCGCAGAAACGCGTACAGAGCCTATTAGTGAGGTATTGAGTGGTATTAGTGAGCGCAATACCGCGGAATCCATGGAACCCATGGGAGCCGTGGGAAACACTGGTACAGTGCGCGCAATAGACAGTATAGGCTCTGCAAACACCAATAAATCATTCGCGACAATTGTCACTATAGCCGCAGTAGAACCGCGCGCTTATGACGGCATTACTGACATTAATGACTGGATTGATCACTTCAAACATGTCTGCACATGTAATGATTGGGATGAGTTATTGCAATTAAAGCGCATACCTGTGTATTTCAAAGGTACTGTAGAGTTATGGTACCGCGCGTTCCGGTTATCCGCCACGGCAGGTGGTATATCTTTGCAAAACATATTTGACGGGTTACGCAATGCATTTGAACCAAAAAACAATAGATCACTCAATTATACAGCTCTTATCTGCCGTACACAAGGGTTGTCCGAAATTGCGATAAGTTATTATTATGATATGCTTAGGCTTTGCCACAGAGTAAACCCAGAAATGCCAGACATAGAGGTAATGACACACATCATGCGAGGACTTAAGCGTGATGTACTAAAACAGGTAATCATATTTGAACCGCAGACTTGCGGTACACTCCTGGATAAACTCCGATGTATTGAAGAATCAGTCACATTATCAAATCAGGTATCAGTTTATAATAATTTAATGATCAATGACACCGCAAGCCATTCAGCGAATAACAGTATTATTGAGGAAAAACTTGAGAAGTTGTGCGCACACGTGAAAGAGTTTATTAGTCTACAAACATGTACTGATCCATTGGGTCCGCGGAATCCGTGGAGTCCATGGGAACTCTATGGTAATCAATCGGATCCGCGTTATGGGATGTACAACAAAGGGAATCGCTTATGTTATTACTGCAGAAAGAAAGGACACATCGCCCGCGACTGTCCCGCACAACAGTTGGAAAGCGCAGACATCACGAATGATGCCGCGGTAAGTTCTGATTAATTATTTAGTATGAATGAGAATTATCAAATCAGGTATCAGTTTATAATAATTTAATGATCAATGACACCGCAAGTTATTCAGCGAATAACAGTATTATTGAGGAAAAACTTGAGAAGTTGTGCGCACACGTGAAAGAGTTTATTAGTGTACAAACATGTACTGATCCATTGGGTCCGCGGAATCCGTGGAGTCCATGGGAACTGTATGGTAATCAATCGGATCCGCGTTATGGGATGTACAACAAAGGGAATCGCATATGTTACTACTGCAGAAAGAAAGGACACATTGCCCGCGACTGTCCCGTACAACAATTGGAAAGCGCAGACATCACTAATGATGCCGCGGTAAGTTCTGATTAATTATTTGGTATGAATAAGACGGGAATTATCTTATTTCTGTTTTCCGTGCATTTTGTATATCTTTACTCTAACTTTTGTAACGACTATTATTTTACGTATACTAACCAATTATAAGTATTAATTTTTATATTTTGATTTTAGTATGATATTATTAATTACCCATTACTTACGCAAACATTTTATATACACGTACATTGATTTTTATTACATTAATTAAATTTACAACGATACACGAATGAACATTATATTATTTTGAATATTTTTTAATTATTAATAACTGTCATTCAATATTAAGTTATTGTAAAATCTATGGAATTGTACGAACCTATGGTAAGTACCCGTGGTATGAACCTATGGTAAGTACCCATGGTATGAACCCGTGGTAAGTACCCGTGGTATGAACCCATGGTAAGAACCCGTACAACTCCATAGATGTTATAAAGTTTTTATTTGCATGATTAATATATGCCTTTATTTTAGTTTAATTAAGTAATTTATATATGTTTGATAATTGTACGAATAGTTAACGTTTCAAAAATTGTTGTTCAAGTGATTAAGGAATTTTATTCATTAAACCATGATGTTTTGTTAGATTGTTCTTGAAATTCAATAGTTTGTTATGAAAAGTATGTCAAAATTTATTAGTTTCAGTAATGAGTTTAAGTTTAAGAAAATGTCATCAGATAAAGTTTGTGTCACAATACTGACGCTTTGCTGGTGTGGCCACGCCGTATACGCTACAGCAGTAGTTGTGCCGCAATATCTGTTTCGATGGACACATGAGAAAATGCTTAGTGGCATTGATTAACTTAGTGATATCTCTTAGGGAGATAATACTTTTCATCTAACATTTATTGTGTTCAGAGCAATACAGTGCACATTGCGGTTATCCCGGATGGTTCTCATCGGTATCAACATTGCCGTTAGAACCGTGGAAATAGCTCCCCACTTAATCCGTGGAAACCGCGAGACACCGTATAGTTATTGTAAAGTACACCGTATTTATGTACATCTCCCAATTACCGCATATACTGTACAACGCGCGCAGTCATTGAATAACCGTACAGTGATTGCACAGCCCGCGCAGTCACCGCAAAGACCGTACAGTGATTGAACACCGCGAACCTCTACAATGACTGCATACACCGTACAGTAAACGCGAAGACCGTACAAAGGCTGCGTACACCGCGCACACCATGGGAGACAATACAATGAGTGCGTACACCGCGCACACCATGAGAGATACCATACAATGAGTGCGTACACCGCGAACACCATGGGAGACACCATATAATGAGTGCGTACAGCGCGCACACCATGGGAGACACTAACATTGATTGCAGACACCGCGCAATCACCGCGAAGACCGTACACTACATGCATACACCGCGCAGTCAATGCGCGACACCGTACATTGATTGCAGACACCGCGCAATCACCGCAAAGACCGTACAGTGATTGCCCACATTGCGCAGTCAGCGCGAAGACCAAACAGTGATTGCACACACCGCGCAGTCACTGCGAAGACGCCGTACACAGATTGCCGACATCGTACCAACAATGGGAGACATTGTGTATACACCGCCGATTATAATTAATTATTAGTAGATAAAATTAAGTACCGTTTTATTATATATTCACTTTATATTTTTTATACAAACATTTTTATGTATGACATGTTTACTATGTATTATTGAACCGATTGGAACGGAAATTATAGTACGAAGCCAAGGGTTGATTGATTTAATTAATTTCTTATTATTGTATAATCTCTTATTTTATGTTTAATTGTATTTAACCATCTTTTTATTGGAGGAGGTTCTTAACGGAGGGGATATGCAGTATTATGTAATACTGCGCGCATTGGTATTTTTATTGCCCCCACTTGTATAGCATTACATGCACTGCTCGCGCAATGCATACCATTCAGTTGACTAACATCTGGTCTGCACTGCAGACTATAT